TTGATACCATCGACCATAACATCCTTCTGGACCGTCTTGAGGGGCTGGGAGCTGGGGGCACTGTTATACAGTGGTTCAGCTCCTTCCTCCTGGGCCGTGTTCAGAAAGTGGTGGTGGGGGGTGAGTGTTCAGACCCCTGGGCCCTCACTTGTGGGGTGCCTCAGGGTTCTGTCCTCTCCCCCATGCTTTCCAACATCTACATGAAGCCGCTGGGAGAGATCATCAGGGATTTGGGCTGGGTGTTCATCAGTATGCGGATGATACCCAGCTCTACCTCTCTTCAAATCAGAACCAGTGAAGGCAGTGAAGGTCCTGTGTGAGTGCCTGGAGGCGGTTGGAGGTTGGATGGCGGCTAACAGATTGAGGTTGAATCCTGACAAGACAGAAGTACAGTTTTTGGGGGACAGGAGGCGGGCAGGTGTGGAGGATTCCCTGGTCCTGAATGGGGTAACTGTGCCCCTGAAGGACCAGGTGCGCAGCCTAGGAGTCATTTTGGACTCACAGCTGTCCATGGAGGCACAGGTCAAATCTGTGTCCAGGGCAGCTGTTTACCAGCTCCATCTGGTACGCAGGCTGAGACCCTATCTGCCTGCGGACTGCCTCGCCAGAGTGGTGCATGCTCTGGTTATCTCCCGCTTGGATTACTGCAATGCGCTCTACGTGGGGCTACCTTTGAAGGTGACCCGGAGCTACAACTAATCCAGAGCGCAGCAGCTAGACTGGTGACTGGGAGCGGCCGCAGAGACCACATAACACCGGTCTTGAAAGACCTACATTGGCTCCCAGTACGTTTCCGAGCACAATTCAAAGTGTTGGTGCTGACCTTTAAAGCCCTAAACGGCCTTGGTCCAGTATATCTGAAGGAGCGTCTCCACCCCCATCGTTCTACCCGGACACTGAGGTCCAGCACCGAGGGCCTTCTGGCGGTTCCCTCACTGCGAGAAGCCAAGTTACAGGGAACCAGGCAGAGGGCCTTCTCGGTAGTGGCGCCTTCCCTGTGGAACACCCTCCCACCAGATGTCAAAGAGAACAACAACTACCAGGCTTTTAGAAGACATCTGAAGGCAGCCCTGTTTCAGGAAGCTTTTAATGTTTGATGTATTATAGTATTTTAATATTCTTTTGGAAGCCGCCCAGAGTGGCCGGGGAAGCCCAGCCAGATGGGCGGGGTATAAATAATAAATTATTATTATTATTATTATTATTATTATTATTATTATTATTATTCCGTATTGAGGCTTTCGTATTGACGCTTCCGTATTGAGTTTTCAGTTTTGGAACTCAAACAGTCTTCCGGAAAGGATTACGTTCGAAAACCAAGGCACCACTGTACATGGATAAAGACAACACAGGTTTTGTATTTTGTTTAGTAAGGAGACATCAGTATAGCCTTATTAACCATTTGCAACCATTTTTAAGTTCAGAAAATGCTATACAAAACTTCACATTTAGACCCACTATAGCTGCTCAGCCTGAGTATATAACAAAATAATAATGATTGTCTTGGATTGATAGGCATGATTTTATAAGCTTACAGCTTAATACAAGCTTGAGAGCTAAATTCCCCTTATAATTGTGATTTATTCGCTTTTGACAATCCATTAAATGTTGACATGAATTCCTCAATGACATTTAACCAAGGTCTTTATCTTTGTGTGTGTGTGTGCCATGTTAGCAATTGTGCTCTATATGACAATCGCAACTTATAAAAATTCTAAGTGCACCAATTTGCTTGGACTAGTAGATGCACTTCTTATTATGATGTTACCTTGCAAACATTCTTCTTCTTTTTTTGCAGTTCCATCTTGTACATCTTAGATAGCACATACAAATCTGTTCAGTTCTTTAGCAGCTGTTGTTGTAACCCAACCAACCTCCTTCTAAATTTAGCACTCTGTAGACCTCAAGGATAAGAGCCACTATTATTTAATCAGAACAATGAAGGCAAAGGGATCTTCTTTATGAGTTGTAAGCCTCTAAAGATTGAGGTTTTTTTAATTATGAAGGGAAATTGCCAGAGAGATGAAAGTGGAGTGACATGAAGCTGTTTAACAAAATTAAAGTGAAGGACTTAAAGTGTGTTTTTCTTCTTTGTTGTTGGTTTTATTTACATTTAATCCTGCTATCCCCTCTCCTCATAAAAATGCCATCCTGATTCTAATATTAGCTGCCTGCCAGTCACTTAAGGGCTATGTAAATCAGCCCTAGCCCTCCACAGAGGGCTGATCTCCACAGAGGGGATGTCAAACCCCACAAAGATTCATAGTTTGTGGTGAACAGATCAATGCTTTCATTAGTGAGCAGAGGAAGTTGCTTAATGACAAATGCAAGTTCATTTAAGGTCAGTTAACGCATGGGTTGTAAGCCTGGCATGTGTAACTAACCCAGGTTTATGTACACTGTCTGTACATAAAGCCAATTCATGGAAAGCAAAATTAACAGCCCAGTCCTAACCATGTGTATTCAGAAGTAGTCCCATTGAATTCATCAGAGCGTACTTCCAGTATGTTGGATCAGGATTGCATTCTAAATGCTACATAAGTCCTTTTTTTCTGTAGGGAAGAACAAAAGGGGAGAGAGCCAGAAGCTTCACTTGGGTTTATTCCAGTTCATGCATGTAGTGCTAAACCATGGTTTAGTGTTCTGGGCACACTGGCCCTATAAGAGTCAATCGCCACTGAGATTGCCAGTGTTGCACAGAGCATTTTTGTGCCTGTGCTGCACATTTCTGTCATATTCCTCTGAACATTCTCCATGCAAACGGAGACAGCCCACACAGAAAGCAGAAATGTAAGTTATTACCACATAAAAACATGAACACATGGAAGTGTCTTCAGGGGCTTCTGTGTGGAAGCTGGTATTCGGGGCTTTGTTTTCTCACTGAGGTGAGTTAAGAAACAAAAGTATATTAGCAGATACTATTGATTATGTAATTGTGTGCTGTAGTATGCATTGTGAGTATAGAACTTACAACTAGCGGTAGTAATACACTCAAAATACATGAGACAGGTTCTGCCAGGAGGGCCAGAATTGTTTCCCAAAATGATTCTCAAACCACTCCCCATTTAAAGGACCAATTTTCATCAAAATACCATAGTTCTTCAGCAACACACACAAAAAACCTGACTCCAGGACATACTCCGGAAGATGGCATATCCTTTTTTTTCCTGCCCACAAACTGTACTCTGTCTTTGAGGAACACATCTGATTTGGTCGGGTAAGAAACCATCTAACAGTTATACCATTTGTTTCTATGACAACATGCATACTACTACTTTTCCAGCTAATAGTCATTGAGCCATAATCACATTCTTGTTATCAGAACATCTTTACCTTAATCTGTCATAAGGCATTTTACTCTCTCATTTTTCTAGTCTTCAGGCTACAGAGGGAGATGCAATTTGCCCATCGCCCTTGATAACAATTGGTGCAGGTTTGATTGCGCTGCTAGACTTTTGCTGGCGTAGACAGTAGCAGGTCATCAAGCTCCTATTTTCCTAGTTATAACACGAGCTACATAATAGTACTTTTCCTCATCATTCCTCCAATCCTGTCCATCAGCATCGCCATCATCTCTAATGCTGTTGTCACACAGCTCTTCCGTCCCAATTCTTTTCATTTGGATTCTGAATTTCATTCTAACACAGTCGGATCCTATGCTTGTGCAAACTCAGTGGCAAAGAAATATGACCACAGGAACACAGTCAAATATTATTATAATCCCTTCTTCCTCTTCTTCCACTAAATGTGCTCTTGCAAAGATTTAGGGCAGGGATTCAAGTTTTCTTGCAATGACATTTAGGCCTCTTTTATTCAAGTTCTCTTTTTCTTTATGCATTAATTAATGGTATGAAAATGTTTTATTTTCTATTTTCTATTTTTATTTTAATTGTATTTGTTTATTATGGTATGTGAAGACAATGTATGATTGTGGAAAAAGAATTTAAATATTAATCTCTTTACATTGTAAGACAAAAGCCTTCTGTTAATAAACCCTGTTTGATCTCTGACCAGAGCCCTCTTCAGGCATTCAAAATAATGCATGATGGCTCAACCTGTTCAAGAGGCATGTGCCCCCAATGTCCCTGTACACCCCACTCCCTCCCTCCCTCTCCCAAAAATATAAAGCCTTCAGGCCTTGACACTAAACAACTGCAAGCACCAAACAAGCACAACCAGCAAGCCATATTCCTAGACAGGTCATAATCCCCATTCTTGGGTAACTTGATTGACTACTTTCCACTTCCTTTTCTTTAACCAGTAAATTAATTATTCCTCAATTTATTCCATGATCTGTATGTTTACTCAAACATATTTGGTGAGGGACTTTGCCAAATTACTACTACTACTACTATCGAAGTAAACAATGCTCACCTTCTGATAAGGTATCTCTGCTCTTTTTTCAGCTTGTTCACTACTAAGCAATCCACCTTATTTCTGTTCTTTAAAAGCAATATATCATTTTAGGTATCTAACTATGCAACTCTATATGTCTACTTTAAAATAAGGCCCATTGACTTCAATGGAATTTATTCCCAGGTAAGTTTGTATAGGCCTAACTACGAGAGTGTATTATATCTACTCATAAGTAAGCCCCACTTAGTTTAATGGGGTTTGCTCATAGGTAAGTGGGTATTACAGAATTAAATATTTTTTTTCACTTTGCAACTTCCTTTGCTTTTTCTGAGTCTAATTGCTTCCCAGTCATCATAGGCTAGTTTTAAGTTAATTTAAAATAACAAACACACCCTTTATCCCTTATATGCATTTCAGATTAGCTGTCATACTAAATTAAACATATTCTTATCTTTCACCTATCTTCAGTTATTACAGTTTCATCCAGTAAAAATGCAATTTAATGCTACTGCCAACATGAATCCAGTTGATCAAAGGGCAACCCCACATTTAATAAGAATTTCAAAGCCAAACAGAGGCTGGTAATAAGATGACCAAACTGTTCCTACCACTTACATTAAATGTGCAAAAAATTGCCCAGTAGCACCTTAGAGACCAACTAAGTTTGTTCTTGGTATAAGCTTTTGTGTGCATGCACACTTCTTCAGATACCGCAAGCACACGAAAGCTTATACCAAGAACAAACTTAATTGGTCTCTAAGGTGCTACTGGACAATTTTTTTATTTTTATTTATATATTGGTTGCGTCAGACCAACATGGCTACCTACCTGAATCATTAAACGTGCAGTGTCCTTGTTTCAGTAGCACCCAAAACCACTCTTCTGCTCCTTCACCTTGCTTCCACTAATGTTGCCTCCAGATTGTCAGCATTTTGCTCCAAGCGCATACCGGAAATTTAGGTTTGTGCAATTAAAGTGGATTAAAGTGCTCTGTCACCCTGCCAGAACAAATCCACTTAAAAACAAAAACAAAACCCAGCACACTCTTTGTAGCTAGGGAAGTGGTGGGGAAATGCACTGGAAAGTGTCGGGTGGACAAATAATTAGCCGGGAGATGTATAAGCACCACATAAGTAAATCAGGATGAATGCTCTTTGTCATATAACATCCCTGCAAGCAAATCAGAATGAATGCTCAATAAAAACTGGACATAGTCTAACCTCTGTGTCCACTTTGTGCAAACAAGTAGGGATGAATGAAGGAGCCCTAAGTGGCTTGGCCTAAAGTGGATGCTAAGCGGACAGGGATACCAACAGATTCAGGAAACGAGGACTGAGCAGTCAGGTTTGCAAAGTGTCCCCCTTATATTACTCTTAGCACTCAATATTAATAATGCAAAATTCATCCTCTCTGAATTTCATCACCCAAGCTCTTTTTTAATAGAACGTGTAAAACTACACACACACACACACACACACACACACACACACACTACTGTCCCTGTTTCTTCAGATACGACTTTTCAGTTTTTGATCCCAGTGCCCTGATTCTTTAAAGGCCCTTTGCACTCCACAGTTCGTCTGCCACAGGGAATCTGAACACAAGAGTTGGAGAGAATGTGGAGCAGCTCTTGTGTTTTTCAACATTATCTGATAGGCTGGATTTCCTGAATATCAGACTTTATACTTCAATTAGTTTAGTTCTCATTCTGTCTATTTTAGAAAGGGAAATGATCTTATGGAAAAGGAAAGTGGTTGTAAAGCTCATCACCATCGGTTATATAGTTATCATTTGGTGACTTCATCATAGCTTCTTACCGTACTATGACAGTCTCCTGCTAGGCAGCTCTTCTCTGGAGGTCACTTGGATGCTGTCTGAACGTTTTACATTGCCGTCTCTGTTTCTCTGACATATTCAGAACAGCAGTTCACAAGGTGCAATATGTTCCATTTGAAAGTCAGAAAAATATATTGTTTCAGGAAGCAACTCCTTGATGAATTATTGCAGGAGTATGCTCAGAACTCTCTTAGGAGCATAGTATTACATCTTAATTAATTGGTGAGTGCTTCTGTTGTCATAGGAAATTTAATTAATCAAATTCAGGCAGAACATCTGGTCATACACGGAAGCTATCAAAATCACACCAGCAGAGTCAAGCAGGAATTGAGACTTCTACTAGGATGGAACTCACACATGCAACAACCCTATGCTGGCCTGTTCTTGATATATATAAAAAAGGGAGGGTGCCTTGTTCACCTCATGGGCAATTTTCCAAGGCTGTAAGTCAGTGGTGAGCAGAATCAGAAGCAAAAAGGTGGATGAAACTACAGATGCTTTCCCCCAAAGAATCCTGAAAGGTATAGTTTGTTAAGGATGCTGAAAGTTATTCAGAGACCTTTATTCTCCTCACAGAGCCACAATTCCCAGAGTTCCTTAGGAAAAGGCATGGACAATTGAACCACTCTCAGAATTGTAGCTCTGTCAGGGCAATATGGGTCTCCTAGCACCTCTCAGCACCTTTTAACAAACTATACTTCCCAGGATTCTTTGGAGGAAGTCATTACTGTTTTAATTAGTGTGATACTGCTTTAAATGTATAGCACAGATGAGTCCCCCTAGTCTTTCTTCTACATTTTAATATTAAGTTATTACAAGAGCTATGACCTGGATCCTTATTGAAATGTTCCTATTTATTCCTCGTCGTCTCCTACATTTAAGAGTATTCAGTCCTATTAATATGGATCGTCAATAAATTGATTCCAGAAATGCTTTCATGTTATTTCCTTGATGTTACCATTGCTTTGCCATCTTGCTTGTTAGATCTTTCATGCATATTCCCCCCCTCCTGACTCGGTGTGATTCCTTCTGTTTGGAGAACGGTGAGAAAATCATGTTACAAAACGGTTCTGTGATGATAACTGCATTTCTTTAACAGATGCTGCTTCCCCCAAGGGGGCTGCAGTTACATCCAGTTAGGCCGAAAGCTCTGGGAAAGTAGGGCAGATAATCAGCTTCAAAAGGAAATGACTAGGCTGGCACCCTAATTCTAAACCCGTGTGTGTGTGTGTGTGTAAATTAATACCTACAGACTTCAAATAAATTTACTTTAAAGTAAGCGGGCTTAGGATAAGAACATAAGATTAGCTCTGCTTGATCAGATCATGATCCATCTAGTTCTTGTGCAGCCTCCTGCTTCTGACAGGGCTAACTTGGTGTGCTTGGGAAGTTCCTAAGCAGGACATAAAGACAATGACAGCCTTCTCTCTAGTTGTTTATCCCTCAGCAACAGGGACACAGAGGTGAATTGCCTCAGAACAATGAAGGCTCCATTTGTCTTTTGTGGTTGATATTCCTGTGAGCATAATTAGTTGTAAACCATTTTTAATACTGAATTTTTAAATTCACCCTGGGGCCTCAGGGTGAAGAAGGGCAGGCAAGAAATCAAATAAATAATGAAATTCAAAGCAGGGCTGTGGTGATTTTCCGTCAGCACAAGCACTTCAGCTTGCCAAATGAAACGATCCTCCCTCTCCTTTCCCTGTGTGCTGTCCTGGGTGTTCGCCCAAGCCCCACAGAGGCTATTTGGGGGATGTACGGGGCAGAATAGGGGGCAAAAGCACTGCTGTACTAGCATAAGTCCTTTTTATGGGCTTCGGCTAGCAGGACTCATTAGTTGAGTCTGACCCATTCATATTACCACTACTGTTAAGTTGTGGGTGAACATATCAGACGACACAGAGATTCTTCAAACAGCTCTTGTTTATTCACAGGCCAGAACAGAAGTGAACTGAAGAGTTCAGCCAGCCTGCTTATATAGAGCTCCAGTACAACATTACTGTAACAACTTTCTGTAACTATCCAATCACTGAATGTCACTTTCGATCCCTTATTTGCATATGTGGACCTGAACTATCTACAGTATCCCCCTGCTGGCCCAGGGTGAGAACTTCAGTACATAACAACTACCTTCTCCAGAAATTTACCTAATCCCCTCAGGTAGGACCTGCTACAAAACGTTGTGGTGTAGCGTTCTTCTATTTAGGGCACCAAGCATGTCTGCTGTTCGTTTCTGTGAACCGCCCTGAGACCTCTGGGTATAGGGCAGTATATAAATTCAAATAATAATAATAATAATAATAATAATAATAATAAATACTTTGCTCCCTTGTTTTTCACACACATACTCCCCAAATCTCAGGCAGCATGCAGCATGCTCAGTCCTTGTTGTGCTATTTCTACGCCCCAACACACACACACACAAACAGAGTTTTCCCCTCAAGGGGTTTTGTGTGTTTTTTGATTCTCCAAACCTTGGGATTTTGCCACACCTATTAATGCCTCGTTCTTATTCTTACAATTGTTATTGTTGTTATTTATTAGATTTTTATACTGCTCTTCATCATAAGATCTCGGGGTGGTTCACTGAATAAAATACAGGATATGAACAAGTAAATAAGTAAATCAAAACAGCAAAACAATATTCCCTCTTCCCACAAACACATTTAAAAGGCTGTAGAATATTAATCAGCCAGAGGCATGGAAGGTGTTATTTCAGTTACATTACGATCTACACTCACCTCTGAACTTCAGAAATAGAAGGAAAAATAATATGCTCTTCCAAATACTTCCCAAAACTACTGTTCAGAGTTTACATTTTGTATTCTTATACCCCTCTTGCTTTATGTCACTATCAATACTAGGGATGAAAAATAAATAAATCATACATAAATTTAATGGAGTGATTCACTCTCTTCTGAGTCTGCTTGCTTGCCTATAATTTTGGGTGTCAAAACATCATCTTGCAATATCGCTTTCACGACATCACTGAAGAGAGTAATGGAATATTCTTTTTTAGAAGCTAAAATTCTTGTTTACAGATTGCTGAACCATAATTATTTTATCCATTTATTATGTATGGAGCAAATAAATAAATTTGGTATCATTAGATGGTCTATTAGTTAATTATCTGTACACTATTCAAAGCAGAAAACATCCCTGGGAAGATGCATTTCTAGTGAGACGTCCTTTGAAATTTGGTGATGAAATGAATTCCATCATGCAGTTTTGCATACAAAAGGCCAACATCAAAATTGCATGACTGTACTAATAAAATAAACATGCATTGTATCACACAGCCGCCTCCTCTGTGGGTCATATTACTTTTAATACCAAATTCTTCCCATGAACCAGTTAGCTAAAGAAACATTAAAGTGGACTCAACTAAATCTAACCACTTTTTCATACGCATTTTCTGTGTTGACAACCACTTTGACTTTTGGATGTTTGATTATTTAATGGTCTTGCTTGTCCTCACTCTTAATTGCCCTGAGCAACATTTTTACTGATGTCCAGTGATGTCATCACATTATATAAAGTATAGCCTTGAGGCATCAACTGATTCACTCTATCACGCCTCATTGGGTTGGATGATCCATGTGCTCAGAGGTGCCATTGGATGACTGGGCAGGGCAAGTTGGCCTGGGAATGTCCCGTCTTGAACCTGCCAGTCAGCTGAGCTAGATGGACCAATGGTATGACTCAGTATAAAGCAAGTTGCTATGTTTCTGTGTACTACAAATATGAGGGATAGCTCAGTCGGTACAGCATGAGACTCTTAACCTCAGGGTTGTGGATCTGAGCCCCACATTGGATTAAAGATTCCTGTATTGCAGCAGGTTGGACTACATGATCCTCGTGGTTGCTGCCAACTCTACAATTCTAGAATGTATCTAGACCTCCATACATTTCAAGTGGAGGAATCAAATCTGCCAAGGGATGCTCTATGCACATTATCTTTCTCCATTTAAATGAATTAGGAAGCCAATTCTCTTCTTACAGTCTAGGACCAGAGGTGGATATCCTCTAAGTAGAGGAGCAAGACTGCATGTGGAGCCTCAGGGGTGCTGCTGGGAACAACACAGTTATGGTGTAGAATGCAAGGTAGGAAGTGAGGAGGTGTCAGATTTTGGTGTTGCACAAGGCACCACTGAAATTTGAGATCCCAAGGTCTGCCAATGCTAGGATTGCTTGGAATTGGTTTCAAGTATACCTGAAAGAGTGTCTCCACCCCCATCGTTCTGCCCGGACGCTGAGGTCCAGCACCGAGGGCCTTCTGGCGGTTCCCTCATTGCGAGAAGCAAAGCTACAGGGAACCAGGCAGAGGGCCTTCTTGGTAGTGGCACCCGCCCTGTGGAACGCCCTCCCATCAGATGTCAAAGTGATAAACAACTACCTGACATTCAGAAGACATCTTAAAGCAGCCCTGTTCAGGAAAGTTTTTAATGTTTGACATTTTAGTGTATTTTTGGTCTCTGTGGAAGCCACCCAGAGTGGCTGGGGAAACCCAGCCAGATGGGCAGGGTACAAATAATAAATTATTATTATTATTATTATTATTATTATTATTATTATTATTATTTTAGTACATGGGGATCCAAGATTAATGTTAAAGAATGAATATGTTCAGGGCAGACTTTTCTGTTCTTAATATATAAACTTTCACAACCAAGTATATCCTCCCTGCCTTTAATATTCAAATACATAATGCCTCATACTCAAAAAATAGCATTTAGAAAAGTGTTTGGGCCACATCCTAGCCTAGTATATAGCTCTTTCAGGCAAAGAAACTCTACTGCTAACACTAAACACATGCCAAACCTCTTCCAACAAGATTAAATTATGTATTTATGGTAGAATATTTATGGTAAGACCTTGCACTAGAGGGAGGGAGAGGAAGTTGGAATTGAAACCACACTGAAATTTGATATCATTTCAGTGATATCAAATATAAAAATTATTGTAAAAGCCTCCTTCAAAGGATGTCTGGGAGGGGACAGGCACAAAATAAAGCATTTTTAGTGTGAATGTAGCAATACATTGGCATAATCCTCAGGTGCATTTTCTAGATCTAACTGTATGAGCCTCAGGCAAGCTTTCTGAATGAGACAGGCTGCTAAGCACCAGTGGAGGAAAGAGAAAAACACCCCGCAAGTGTAATTAAACAAAGAAGTTTGGCCTTTATGGAGAGTGATGTAGTGGAACATTGTGACAGTGTGCGAAAAAGCAAATATCATTAGCCTGTGTTGAATCACAACAGTAGAACTACATAATGCACTTGTAAGAGAAATTCTCCCCTATGAAAAGGTGCCCACTAAGCACTCTCAAGAGATACAAGCTGTGAAATACAAATTACTTTGTCAATCATATGGCTCTTTGAGGATTCACAGCACATCTGTTTACCTATAATCTACAGAAAGCTTTTCAGGCCATGGAAATAGTTGTGCCCTTGGAACTTGGTGAGGGGGAAGATTTTTGATCCTCCAAGTGTCCCTATTTTCCAGGGACAGTCCTGGATTTACAGAAGCCATACTGGTTTCTGATTTGATTCCAGAATGTCCCGCTTTTCCTTGGGAACATCCCTATTTTCATTGGAGAAATGTTGGACAGTATGGAGTTATGCGACCTCCGAGCCAAGGAGATAAGTAACTATACAACTGTTAGAAGATATCTGAAGGCAGCCCTGCATAGGGGAGCTTTTTAATGTTCATTTTTTAATGTTTTTATGTTGGAAGCCACCCAGAGTGGCTGGGGCCACCTAGTCAGATAGGCGGTATATAAATAATAAATTATTGTTATTATGGAATAGGACATCCCTATTTTCTTTGGCGACATATTAGAGGGTATGAAATTTCCAGACGCCCAGCTCTTCACACTTAGCTCTATACCACTTTCACAGAACAGTGGAGAAAGGATTTGCTGTTTATTCAAGAAGGCTGCTTGAAGACTGTGGCTTTTCTGTGGTGGACCAGGACAACGTGGAAGTATTGAAAGCTGCCTCTGGAAACAGAATGCAAAAATTGGCAGGCCCTTCTGCGTCATCACACAACATGATTCCTCTGTCAATGGGACCATGAGAAGTGTCACCCCCCCACCAGCCAATTGCAAAGCTCAGGGCCAAAGGTACCAAAAGAGATGCTTCTTCAAGTGTTTGGGCCCAAGTAACTTAAGACTTTTTACATTAACATCAAAACCTTGAACTGGGCCTGGTAGCACATTGGTAGCCATTGAGGCTCACGCAGAATTGGTTTATATAATTCCAGTTAGTGGCTCAAACACCTTTTCAGTCTATAGCCATCAGCTTTTTCCCCTTTGATTTTTGTCACAGTGTCTCCTACAGCAAAATATTTTTTTTAAAAAACTCTTTGCTATGGCTCCTGATCAAGATATCTGCTCCCCCCCCCCCCCATTTAATGGTGGACTTTCTTTTCTGAATATAATTCCAAAAACACCTAAGTACTTTAAATACACCCATCCATACTACTGTCAACTAAAAGAACTGCCATGATCTGTGCTGTTCCCAATATTGTTCTTCACTGCTTCCTCACCATCAGAGCAAAGTACCCTGATTAGCACCAGCAGTGCCAATATGGTCCACAGATTAACCTCAAAATACAGAAATTAAGGCTTTACTATGGCCTCTGTTATTAAGCTAGTCTCTGGGCTTCCAATCAGCTAATTTCTGGGATTCTCAGCTGCCTTCTGCTACAGGGTGTCTTAAGCAAGTGAAATTTTCTATAATAAGATTATACTATAATTCCTCTCCCTGCCATTATTTGGCAGCAGAATACTATGCTAAGGGTGCATGGTCTGTAACTGTCTGGGCACAAAAACCAAGCAGATATATGTTCCAGTGGAAGCATCTAGTTCCTAAGATAAGAGACAAGCATTTGGGTTAACTTCTTCAGAGATGCCTTTGAGTCTGTTTTGTGGTGAAGACTGCAGATGGGTTGTTTAGCTTGCCAGATGCTCCTGGCTTGTTTTCTTTTGATTGACCTTTAACATCACAACATTTGCTCATTAGTATAGTTTCCCTACAAGAAACAGAGCATGTTCTTTCTTTTTTCTTGGTGCCAAGTTAAAATTGTACCATGTATAGTTCACCTTCCCCCACCTCCTATCCACATGGAATTAAGCAAGTCTGGGTGGCACTGTGTATTTGGAAATTGTGTGTGATGTCATAGGAACAAATAAAGCTGACTTTCACTATCTGCTTTGTACAACACACTAAGCAAAACTTTGAACATTCCAAGCTCACTGATTTACATTTCTAAACTATGAAATATGTACTTTGAGGAAAAAGTTGCTCAGTCCCTGTTAAATAATGTGTAGACATAGCAGACGACGCAGCGATTTCTCCAAAGCAGCTCTTTATTTGTAAGCTGGAACAGAACTGGCTGTCAACATTGTAGCAACAAGAACCCAGGGTTTCCCGCCTAAAGTAACTGACGTGGACCTGAGTGAAAACTATACAGTGGTATCTCGGGTTAAGTACTTAATTCGTTCCGGAGGTCCGTACTTAACCTGAAATTGTTCTTAACCTGAAGCACAACTTTAGCTAATGGGGCCTCCCACTGCCGCTGCGCCGCCAGAGCATGATTTCTGTTCTCATCCTGAAGCAAAGTTCTTAACCCGAAGTACTATTTCTGGGTTAGCGGAGTCTGTAACCTGAAGCGTCTGTAACCTGAAGCATATGTAACCTGAGGTACCACTGTATACACAATACTCCTGGTGGCCAGGATGAGAACTTAAATACGTAACAATCCCCATCCACAAACAGATGCCAATACTGACCATCATTAAGACAAAGTGTGCATGTTTATTCCCATGGTAGCATTTATGTACTTGTTTTAAAAATGTATATACCTTGCATTTTGATCAAATGGTCTCCAAAGCAACTTACACAACATATCAGAACAACACAAGAACATAGGAAGTAATTAAGACAGCTGAAATCATCAACAAAACAGTATCCACATTAATAAGCACCACAATTATAATGTATTAAAACTTGAGCAAATGAAACAGCCTTTACCCAAATATATTGGTGTGGGAAGAGGAAAGGGCAGAGAAGTCCGCAGTTGGTATGTCATGGCATAAGAGACCTTCATTCCTGACAGTCAAACACCTAACTTCTGAAGAAGAAGACCAGGGTCTCAAGCTGGTGATCTTTGTACATGGGCAAGCAGATGCCGAAAAGGATGGTTCTTTGGATTCCCTGACCCCAGGCTATTTATACGCCAAAGTCTGTTCTACAAATATAGCTAGAACAAAAATATAAACTTGTTTTTTCCTAAAACATTGGTGAATGTGTTCAGGTTTACAAACACCACCTAGCAAAAAGTCTTCACACTTTGCTTTAATCTGTGAGGTGGAACTTGCCCAGGACTTCGGTAGACATTATCTTGAATCAACCCTAATTTAATGTCCATTTGAGTTCCTTCTTTTGCCAGCTGAGTGTTCCCTTTCTTGTGGCTAGTAGTCTAAATAAGCAGTTTGTTTTTAGTATCTCTTCACAGGGAAACTGAACCCAGACCCCTATTCCACCCAGAAATGTGGTCAACACAAACAGTAAGGCATTGCTATTATCATCTGAAAAATAGTCTGTCTGGAATATGCAGCATGAGGTTCCAATCTTCTCTGCTACTCTGCTTCTGGGATAATGGAACCAATACTACTTCATTTCCCCCACCGACTGAAAGGAGACATTGATGCTTGCCCAATTTAGTCACTGTGCAGTTTTCTGGCTGAAACGTCCCTCCTTCATTTATGCATGAAGTAATTTTTCTGTTTACTTCCATAAATAATGCAGGTTTAA